GTATATAACAGGTTCGAGTACCGATTATATACACGTTTTCATCTAACTGTCATTGTTGATGATGCATATCTCATGTGCAGCTTTGCCAATGTTTACATAATGCATATTCATATATTATATTTATTACCGTAACTGGGACCTACGTGTCTTATGTTCGAAAACAACATTATTATTTTTTATTACAGAGATTAGTTCTATTGTCCAGCGTATTTCAAGTAGACATAAACTTGGTAAAGTTTGTGATAAGAGAGAATTTTATTTTGTCTTGTTGATAAAGTCGCGTAAAATTTTTCGAATTTTAACTTGTACACATAGGTACGAGTATTTATATGCAAGGCATAAAATTTTTATACTGCCAAAGTCGTTTCGTTTTAAAACGTATCGTAAAAGTAAGAACACGTTTCCCTTTTTTAGCACATAATATCAGCGTTCGTAAATTTAGATTTATTTCATGTAGAATAAGTTTAATTGAATACAAAACAAGTTTAATTGAAACGTCAGTTTCGGTCTTTATAGAACGTTTACTACTTAATAAAATAAAACAAAAATTTTGATGTGAACTCAACGTTACCCTTGCAATCCTGAATTTAAAAATGACCTACATTTGTTACAACAATATGCTATAAGTTACTGCAACCCAAAATAAAAATTAAATGGAATTATTTATGTCTCATCAGAAAATAAAATTATTTGAGCAGGCAAATGAGGTTTCCACCTTATGTTCTACATACAACAAAATTTGGATACGACGATATCCAAGAGCTGTTAATCGCGTTTTATTTAGCTCTTCATGAATTTATTTACAAATTTGAATTTAAATCCATATGCTAACAGGCGGAATGTTCTTTATGAATTATTAACTAGGTAAGTTGCTTCGTATTACCAGCGGAATTTGTTTGTAGGTTGTCTAGTTACTATTCGTTTACTATCAATTCTTTATCAATTTCATTCATTTAAAGTAGAAATACTTGAGTTCAGAGTACAAAATTAATTGGTTTTGACTTATTTTAACTCTTAATTTGACTTAACAAGTAAACATACATAATGAAGATTATCCACACCGCTACACCATTGATTGGATAAATTCAATCAACCTTCCTCCTCGCGTAGAAATTTGTTTTTCAATAGTGATCACAGTTTAATTAAAATATTTTTCACTAAGTGATCCGGTATCAAGACAAATAGTAATCTACACCTACGTCTAATTATTATTTGTTTTGACTTTCATAATGTAGGTAGATTTGGAAGCAATGATATTGTTGCAGAAGACAAAACGCAATACAACTTTTTTACTTTTCGCTCAAAAAGTGCTGGCAAAATATCTCCACTAAATATAAGTAGTGCATTTTCTTTAAAAAATCTGCAATTTCAGACGGCAATAACTGTTTAGTTTTCACGTATCATGAAATAGTGTCAACATGTTTACGGCCTCTCATAACGTCTAAAAATACAATACCATAAAATTCTTTTAGATAATATTTGAATTGGAAGCCAACAGCGGTTAAAATTGTATTGCTTATATTACTATTTCTTTTAGGAAAATAATAAATCGATTTCGACGCAAAATATTTACTCCTTTAACAATGCTTTTGTATCCAAATTTCTAAGAGATTTATGGCAAAAGTGGTAATTACAGACAATAAAGATGTCGAAGCCAGGCATTTTTGTTGCATTTGATTGTGCATTAGTAATTGTATTAAAAAAAAATGATGGAAATAATGATTAACTAAATGCATCATAAAAAAAATTAAGCTACATTCAGGTACTCAAATATAAATAAGATGACTGTGAGCTCCGTGTGATGTCCCTAAATAATTTCATAACTTACGTGTCCAAGTTTAAGTTTAGCTAAATTTTTCATGTTGAGGCACTAGAATAGAATTCTTATTTTACTCGATTTTCTTAAAGTTCAAAAGTTGCATTAACTTGATAATATCTAATACAAACAGAAATAAAAATCAATTTTAATTATATTTAATTATTTTTACTTCTCGAAATGACAAAAACATTTTACTCATTTTTCGAACATTATTACAAAACTGTAGCATTATAATTAATTCCTCTTTTTTCAAACGTATTTTACGAAGTGATTAATAGTAAAAGCAACATGAGCTATTTTTCGTGCATAAATTCATCAATTTTGTCACTTGTCCTAAAAATAACGGACGTTTTGCTTTGGGTAATGACTTGCAAAATTGCACAAATATTTGTGTGGTAATGATGTATTCAAATGCCTCCCAAGCAGATAAGATCCTCGAACACTCGGAACATAACAATTAGCCGACAAAACGGTTAAATTACAGCACAACGAACTTACATTTCAGTTCAGGTTTCATTTCTTTCAGCGTTATCTTTGTACACAAAGTGGAATGTACTTTGTAACCCGTTGAATTTTTACAATTGTTCCAGGCGGTTTGATAAATATTGATCGATGTCTTCCCGAAAATAGGGCAAATAGGCATTTTCAATGATTCTGGTTTTGTAAMWGAATATAGTTAAATTCATTTTTAGCTTTACTGAAGAAATTTACTGCACGCCTTGGAACATTTCTTCGCGTTACGTTGTATTTTAAATATCAAGGATTTCTTTTTTAAGTAACTTATACAAATCCGTTTAAAATAAGATTTTTGGTAATCTAGTCGCTGAGAAACGTGGGAAGAAACGTATTAATATGCATGAAGTTTTTATTTATTGGGAAGACAAAAAATATTATCTCATTGCTAAATTGCTAATATTTTCAGCACTTTATTGGCATAGCTGTCGCATTTACAATTTTAAACTGAAGACAAAATTTTGCTTGTTTTTTCTGATCTATTGGATGTTTAACTAGCCTTAAATAATTGCTCAATTACGTGTACGTTTCTAACGGTATTTATTGAAATTTTATTGATTCTTGCTGTCAGTGATTTGGTGAGGAAAAGCTTTGAATTTTGACTGGAACTTTTCTTGTGAAAGACTAAATATAATATGTTTCATACCTGTTTAAATTTGCTTCAAGGTTTCATAGCAAAGCAGATACATCGACAACTATTTACACTATGGATAAGCATGATAAAGGTTTATGCCCCAGGCGATTTTAACCAAGTGTGTAACAAGGGTTTAGTCAGTGGTTTAGTGTTATGTATACATTTTACTCGGCAATTGCAGTGTTTCAATCTGTAATAGATGCAAACCATCGATTTGGATACTGGAGGTAACCTTGGGGGAGTGTAAACGCGATATATAAATTATTAGTTGAAATGTTTTATTACACATAAACAATAAAAAGTGATTGTTTATTATATTTATGTAAATATGAGAACATGACAAACGTGTGATTTCAAGTGTACGTGATCAACAATCCAGGTTGATGCTTTTGTGGTGTTGCAGTGATTAGTGCAATACACGTTGGGAGTATTATTTTGATTTTCTTGGCAGAAATTCAAAAATTTCGTAACTTGTCACTGTGAAAAGGGACGTTTGGTCACAATTAATGAAGTTGAATGAACCTGTCAAAAAATCGCTTTATTTTTGTCAAAAATTACTGCGCATTGACTTGTTTTTGATACGGAACGTATTACTTACAGGAAACAATGGAGCAATTACGTTTTACAAAACACGATTTTATTGAACAATGTTCATATGGGTTCGTGACATTTTTGATAATAAAATTTCTATATTTACCACAGGTTTCAAAGTGAGTTTATTACAGAGGCCAATAATTAAACCGGAAATGAAATTTGATTTTCGTAGTAAATAATTTCAGCATTCCTTTAAATAAGTTCATATTTAATTTTCTTATTTTTGCTGGAATAGTATAAGTCTAATTTGAAATTGCATCAAGAAACCATAAAAGTGTCTTTGAGGGAGGTTTATTATTACTGAAATTTTTCAGACTACAGTGGTTTCTCATAGCAGGAATTACCTAATGAACCGAATTTTTATTTTTGATTAGTGAGTGATTAACGAATTACTCTGTTTAGTTTTACGAAGCTTTATTCGCGTTTATTTTTTATTTAATCATATTGATGTCAAGGACACATACGAGCTAAGTTTATGATTATGCTATAATTTATATATTTTTTTCTTGTCATAAATTACAATGAATTTAATGGATTCATCATTCATGTGCGAGTTAAAAAATCAAGGTTTGTCTAGATGCTCAAGATCAGAATTCTAGCAAAAAATCGACACATTCTTTCTAACTTGAATTAGTTTATTGCTTGACACATTTTTATTGGCAAAAATAATTATTAAACTATTTGTTTATTTGGTATTTTGTACTTTGGTATTGTATTCCCAAAATTTGTATGTTGAAGGTCGCCGATTATTATTTAATTCTGGCTAAAGAATGTTTACTTAGAAACAGAATTAACATCACTAACAGATAATTTACATTTTGTTATAAATTTGCTGTTTAAGAAAAAAGATTTTTGGGTTGTTGTTGGAATCTGATCACTAAATAAAATTTAGATCTACTTCGCCATAAATGCAAATTAACTTACGGTTTCTGTTCAGCAGTGGGGTCAATAAGTATTAAGAATTAAAAATTGTATCATTTTTTACGCTTAGCAGCCTGTATGGTATGGAGATGATTTTAAGATTCTTCTGTTTAAAACAGGACAATGGCCTCTCGATGTAAGAAATTCAACAAGCATCTCACGTCGCTGCTAAATTATTGTTGATGATTATCTATTCACTGCTTGAAAATAACAGTAAACCTAATTTAAACCGGTGCAAAACACATTGTTCAAAATTTTATTTATGTTGTTTTTGACGATGACTATGTGCAATTTGAAATATTTTTCCCAGATGCGTCATTTATCCACATAATAAAATATCGACATGCAAAACTAGATTTTTATTTATTTTCAAAGTTTAAACCTTGACCTTTTTTATTTGTTTGTCGCTGCAGCTTCTTTCTGTTGGTGCTCTCGAATCAAAATAAAGTGAATTTCCGATAATTGCATATATAATTTTCTTGTTTGTGTTGTTGTCTCATTTATTATTGATTTTTTCAGGTGGGTCTGAAAAATTTAGAACTCATCGAAGGAGGGATTATGATTGGAGGTTGCCAACGGTTATGTTACGCCAATACCGTGGATTGGAACGCTTTGGGGGCTTTCGCATTCCATTTCCAAGAACTACCAACCTGTAAAAGTGAACTTTGTCCAAAGAACTGCGGCGGTAAGTAAATATTAACTAAATAATTAAACCCAATTAAGCATCCGCTTCATATAAACCCGTGATTATTGACGCCTATGATTTTCTTTCGAAAGGAACTAAATTACAACTTGAATTGATTTTAATTAATTGTTTACAGGACACTGCTGGACTAAAGATACTTGTCAAAAGCCGTCGAGTGATTTCTGTGAATTCTTCGAAGATGAGGGCAAATGTGTGAAGRCATGTCCTAAGCACAAGTAATTGTTAAATTTTTGTGAAACTGAAACTAATGGTTCTTTTTCAGAGTCCATAATTATGACATTATGAAATGTATGACCAAAGAAGAATGTGAGACTATGTTAAATGGCACTTGGTGGGTCTTTAACAACTCTTGTATTGAGACTTGCCCTATTTATTACAATCAGGATAAAAATGCGAAAGGGGGATGTGTTTACGCGGGAAAGAATTACAAAAAAGAATGTAGAGGGGGTCTTATCGAAAAATTGGATGTCTTACAAGAGATGAAAGACTGTACGGACATAAATACGTCACTGGAGTTGCGTATAACTCAGGATTATTTGGTACCCTATCTGGAAAAATACCTCGGCAACGTTGTTAGTATTTCAGGATATTTGAACATTTCGAGATCGGGGAATATTAAATCGTTGGAATTTTTTAAAAGTCTTGAGGTTATTAAAGGAGAGGAATTAGCAAATAATAAGTATGCTCTTTATGTGTTTCAAAATAAAAATTTGGAGAAACTGTGGGACTTTGATGATAATTTTAATTTAACCATAAGAAATGGTTCCATTCAGATTCATGATAACCGTTTTCTGTGCCCCTCTGATATAATAAGACTGGAAAAGATTGTTGGCGCTAAAATGGATAATGACACTGTTATTTTTCGTTATTCTAATGGCTACAACTCAGTTTGCAATCAGAAAAACATGACAGTTATGATTCTTGAGAATAATCCAACAAATGTAACGCTCACGTGGCATCGAGCCGATTCAGCCGACAACGAAATAATCATCGGTTACACAATATATTACGTGCCGGTGTTTGAAGGCAATATTACAGCATTTGAAAATAAAGACGAATGTAGTGTAGACGGTTCGTATGGTATTTTTGTTCGGGAGAATATAGTTCAACTTGTTTCATTACGTCCCTTTACCCGTTATGGTTACTACTTTAAAATATACTCGACCAACCCTCAAGAAGCCAAAACTCCTGTTTATTATTTTGTTACGGCGTCCACAGAACCTCCTGCACCTATTGATTTTGACGCTGAAGCTATAAGTGACACGAGTATTGTCCTCACCTGGAAACCCCCGTCTCTCTTTAATGGCCGTTTTTCCCACTACGAGTTAGCAAAGTTTGTTGAAGAAGATTACGTTCCCCTGATCCAACAAAGAAATTATTGCTACTTTCCTCATGTTGAAATTGAAAAACCCAAAATCTCTGTAGTCCCGAAAGTTACTAAAGTGGACGAAGACTTGACAAATACAACGAATTGTACTTGTGGTAAGAAATCTTTCGTACAGTTTGTCACTCAAGACTTGACTTGTACGAACGGTGGGAGAATTGATAGTTGCATTAGAAGTATTTATCATCAAGTATCGAGTTATTTGTCCGGTAAAAGAGAAGTAGAGAACGAAACTCAAGTCAAATTAGTTAATTCTAACGCGACTTCTTACGAATTTAAAAATTTGCAACATTATACTTTGTATGTGTTTTATTTGCGAGCTTGTAACGTCAGGGAAGACACAGGGGAACTCCTATGTGGTAGCTCGGTGATGGTAACTGAAAGAACAAGGAAACGGAAAAGTGCAGATACTATCAAGTCTATCAAAGTTGCAATTGAAGATAAAAATGCTCGTGTCGAGTGGTCTAAACCGGAAGAATCTAATTCGATACTAGTCGCGTATCAAGTGGAGTACAAAAGAACCGATTCCGAATATTCCAAGCCTAAATCCGAATGTTTAACCGAAGACTTATTTAATAGTCTAGGCCAGGAGTATAATTTATTAGAACTAAATCCAGCAAAATATGCGATTCGGGTCCAAGCGATTTCTTTGGCCGGTCCTGGAACTTTCAGCGAATGGAGGTACTTTGAAATAGTTTCGGATCCAAGCAATGCTTACAAAATTTACACTCCCATTATTGTTATTTCCGTCATAGTGTGTCTCCTCGGTGGAGGGTACTACTGGTACCGCAAACGATATTTCAAGGTAGAACGCAACCATCTCATAACTAGTATAAATCCGGACTACGTTGGTCCAATTTACGTAGAAGACGATTGGGAGATCGATCGAAATGACATTGAAATTATCCGGGAGTTGGGTAAAGGATCATTTGGAACGGTTTACGAAGGTTTGATTAAATCCAGACAGTACCCTTGTGCCATCAAAACCATCAGTGAGAAATCATCATTTTCAAGTAAAATGGAGTTTTTGAATGAGGGTTCCGTGATGAAATCATTTAGTGAGACGCACCATGTGATCAAATTATTAGGGATAGTATCACGTGGTGAGCGTCCTTATGTCATAATGGAGTTAATGGAGCGTGGAGATTTGAAGTCGTACTTGAGGCGCTGTCGTGGTCCTTCACAAAACCTCACCACCAATGAAATCTACCGAATGGCGGCCGAAATCGCGGATGGTATGGCCTTCCTCTCTGTCAAGAAGTTCGTCCATAGAGACTTGGCAGCGAGGAATTGCATGGTAGCCGCCGACCGCACGGTGAAAATCGGGGATTTTGGAATGGCACGCGACATTTACGTGACTGATTACTATAGGAAAGGAACTGCGGGGCTGCTGCCCATACGGTGGATGGCCCCCGAGAGCCTCGCAGATGGGGTGTTTACCACAGATTCCGACGTGTGGAGTTACGGGGTGGTGCTATGGGAGATGGCGACCTTGGCCGAGTTGCCGTATCAGGGGTTAGGGGCCGAGGAGGTTCTCCAGTTTGTGACTTCAGGGAGAACGTTAGATATGCCACCGCAATGCTCGGATCTCTTGTATAAGATTATGAGCGCGTGTTGGAAGTGGCGGCCTAACGATAGACCCACGTTTTTCAGTATAGCAGACGAGTTAGTGAATCATGTGGGAGAGGACTTCCGATTAGTGGCTTTTTGCTTCAGTCGGCAGGGAACTGAGTTACGTTTGAATGCGGTGCCGAGGGTTTATAATCCCCCGGCGATGATGGGGACTACCATGACCGGAGACGAGTGTTTCAGCCATTATGACCCGTCGGAGGAGGAAGTTAATTTGTACATGAATAAAGCAAACCGTCCAACGAAATTCCTACCTTTCTCAAACCAAAGAACGAATAAATCGTCGCCATATCAGTTAAGTCCAGGTTCACCGTCATCGACATCCTCCTTCAATTCATCTTAAATGTTAAGTCTATTAAAACTAAATGTGATATGTGATGTTAGTCACTAGGATTATTATTTAAGTGTGTCCTGCCTTAGAGTGATTGCCGAGAATGATTTTTATTAATTCCAGGGGATCAATGTTACCTAAGTTTTTTTCTAGTTTATTTAAGTGGATAGTATTTTGTAAAGTTTTTATTTTTTCTTAATTTATCGTTGATTTTAATTGGGGAACCAAATTTTTTAGTATAGGCAATACGAAACGTGCGTACAAATTCAATATTATTTCGGCTCTTAAATGTTCAGTAAATTATTGTGCCGAAAAAGTGTTGGTTTTCAAAGGTAATTGTAAAACTCAATGTACCTATGTCAGGGCGATTCCTATTATTATGAAAGGTTGTATTTGTATAAATCACCTGAAATATATTTTGTAAACGTTGTACAAATAAATATTTTTCAGAAAATTGAAGCTTTTTTTACACAAAAATATCGCACAGAAAAATTGCAAAAAATAATTTGTGCGTTTGGAATATAAGGTTAGTGTCGACATCTAGCGATAGTAGCTTGGAGTTTTAACAATGAACGCTTCACTAACTACATTTTCCTGTCTTGTTTTGAGCTATCATGATGAAATCGATAATATTTTGTTGGTTACTTAGACAAATAGTTGCAAATTAGTGATTATAATTGATCCACTTGTGAACTTATTAAAATTTTGATCACCAAAATAGATAAATAACTATAAAACACATACTTACTCAATGCCTCCGGCTGGAGAAATGGACAGAAAACACAGTATTACTTTTCTGTATTATTTCTACAATTATACCTTGCGTGGCAAATTTGAAACCCTACTTGGGATTTCTGGTATTACTTTAAAATAAAAATAAAATAAATTCAAAATAATTTTTGATCAAATACAGTAGCGTACAAAATATTTTGGTCGTCAATGTCACTAAAAAATTATTGTTTTATGTCAGAAATTTTGCAGTTTACTTTTTGTGACTGATTTTTTATTGCAAAAAGTCAAAAATAGTTTAAACGTCGATTGACTTTTTATTTTTGCTGACATTTTGCAACGAATTTCAAATTTTACAAAAATAAGTTTATTAAAAAATAACATTGATGACTAAAATATATTGCACGCAACTATACCTTCTTAAATATGGCAAAAATTAATTCCCATGAAAACACAATTACGCTTATATAAAAAAAGCTGTTTAAAGAAAACTTGCTAAATTACATAACAAAATTAGGGATCTTTATCTTTAGACGCCTCAGCCAAAGCGAATTTTTGGATGAGAGGAGCATTTTATCTCACCGTGTTACCTTGTATATGTGTAGTAATAATGCTATAAGAAACAATAAAAATTCATAAATGATCCAATTGACATGCGATTTGACCTTTGTTCATTTCGACCCGGGTAGGTGTACATTTGACATTGCACCATCTATAAATATGCTTTTAATTGAGTTGATCAGGATTTTATTTGAATATTTAGTTTCTTCTCGTCCCTCAAATTGTTACAATGTCTTGTATATTTTTTATTACTGTTTTATCAATAATTTTGACTGTGGAAAGCAAAGTGTGCAAATCGGTGGATGTTAGAAATACTCCGAGTCACATTTCTGAATTTAGTGATTGTCGAGTTATAGACGGTTCCTTGCAAATTGTTCTTATGGAGAATCTTGACGCTACTGATTATATAAACATCAGTTTTACAGAACTGTTTGAGATTACTGAATATTTGCTAATTTATAGAGTGATGGGCTTAACAACACTGGATTCAATATTTCCGAAGCTTGCCAGTATTAAAGGGAATTCGTTGTTTCTTGGACATTCCCTTGTGATTTATGAATTGCTAAACCTAGAGGAGGTACGTTGATAATAAAACAGTTTTTTTTTGCTTGGGATGAGAGACGTTTCAACAGGTAGGAAGTTAGTCATGATTATATTTCCTTCAACATTTTTTATTGTTAAATTGTTATGTGAATGTTTTCGTAGATTGGATTAAAACATTTACAAAGCATTGAAAATGGAAATGTAAAAATTGCAAATTGTCCTAATCTCTGCTACGTAAACACTATTAATTGGACTTCATTGGGTGTTTCACTTGTCCATTACAACGAAACTGCAATTTGCAGTGAGCAAAATTGTCCATTTGAGTGCAGGGGTGTGTTAATAATTTTTTTATTTGTTATTACTGTTATTAGATGTAATTTGTTATTTACAGGGTTTTGTTGGAATTCTTACACTTGCCAGAATACGGCTAAAACAAGGTGCGATCCTTCTTGTATTGGCTGCACCCAAGACTTTTCGTCTAAACATTGCGTTCAATGTAAATATTTTAATAATAGTGGCACTTGTCTCGAAAATTGTCCCAAAAACAAGTATTTAACCAAGTTTTTTGTTGGACAATATTGACAAATATTTTTTAGAATCGCTGACAAACACTCTGGACAATGTATAGAACGAAAAGACTGCATTTCGAAAAATGGTTCTTGGACAATTTTTAGAAACGCGTGTGTTCCAAAATCATTAGAAAATGCCGGCATTACAAACTCATCAAAAAGGAAGATATGTGAAGGAATGAAAATAGTCAACCATTTTGAACTCGAACAAATGGTTAATTGTACTCATATCAACGGTTCCTTAGAAATCTCTTTAGGGGGAAGTGTAGTTCTCAGTGATTTAGAACGAACTTTGGGGAAAATCGTCTCGATTTCAAAATATTTGAAAATAAGTCGATCACATAAACTCACCTCTTTGCAATTTTTCCATAAATTGAGGACAATTAAAGGGGAACAGCTGTGGAGTAAGTACTACTCCTTATATATCGTTAAAAATCAAAATTTGCAACAACTCTTTGACAAAAGATTTAAGCTCAATATCGAAAATGGGACAGTAATATTCCAAGACAATCCACATCTGTGTCCTCGTTATGTCGACAAGTTTTTTAATGTCACGAAAATTGCCAGTAAATATGAACCTTACAAATTTAACAACGGGCATCAAGCATCTTGCATTATTAAAGACATGAGTGTTTCAATCGAATCAATTAATTCAACTAATATCACACTGTCATGGAAAAATGAGAGTGGTAGTAAAACCATTCTTGGTTACACTATTTTTTATACTTACACAATGGGGGATAGAGATCTTCTGAAAATCAAAGATGAAATTGGCGAAGTTGATGGGGACAGTTGGTCGAGTATTTTTGTCTCAAATACTTCTGTAATAATTGAAAATTTGTATCCTTATTCTCATTATGCATATTACATCAAAACACATTTTTTGACATCGTTTGAAAATATACAAACACCGGTTTACTCTTTCAGTACGCCACCAGGTGATCCAACTGAACCTATAGGACTAGAAGCGGAGGCTAAAAGTGACACCATAATCGAATTGAAGTGGAAAATTCCTAATTACATTAACGGGGAATTGTCTTATTATAAATTAGCAATTTACGTACAAAAAGATTACTTGCCAATGATTCTCCAAAGGAATTACTGTCGCAATCCCTTTGTTGGGAATGGTTGTACTTGTTTAAAAAAAGACATATTACATTTATTTCTCCAAAAAAACGTATGTATAGGGCAGGACGGGGATCATTATTGCAACGATAAAACCGTCTATGAGGTTGTTGAAGCGCCCAAAAGCGAGCCTCCGAAGATTAGGATACACAAGAGATCTGTTGTTTTTAACAGTACTGTTTTACGTGTACAAGAATTTATCATCAATGCGACGGATAATTACACACTGACACTACCAGTTTATGGCCTCGAACACTTTACTATGTATACTTTCTACTTGAGAGCTTGTAACAGTAAAATATCTGAAAATGATACTGAGCACTGTGGTGGTCCCGAAATGGTGTCTGAAAGAACCCTAAAGAATGAAAGCGCCGACATTATTTCATTTCTGAGTATTCAAATCAATAAAATTGAGGCAAATATCAGTTGGACACAGCCAGAATCTGTCAACTCTGTTATTCTTGCCTACGATTTAGAATACAGAAGAAATATTGCCAGCGGTTCAATTTCTACTTGTATAACAAGCAAAAAGTTTGATAAACAAGGATATATAGTACTTCAAGTGGCACCTGGTAGATATTCTGTGCGTGTTAGAGCTCTTTCCTTAGCCGGATATGGTGAATATACCACATGGCATTATTTTGAAATTTTTGCGGAAAGTTCGCATACGAATCATGAATGGATAACTGGACTTTTAATTTTTTTTGGTGTTATTATTATTATTGTAATTGGACTTGTGATCTATCGCCGGTTTAAGTTAGCACAGAACAATGACACTGATCACTTGATACTTGGCAATCACAATACCGAAATGACTGATGATGAGTGGGTTCTTGACCAAGAAACTGTTGAAATTATTAAAGACTTAAAGCAAAATTTAGTTGGAATGTTGTATCGCAAAAAAGAGGGCTAATTAATTACAAAATTGTGATTTTTTTTATTGCAAAAAATGTATTTTTGTGTTAGCTATAGACATCTGTAGGATATACTCCGTCAGCAGAAAATTCAAAACTGGGGTTGGCGTAGTGACATCCTTTGGGAGAGTCCTGTCGAGCTTTCACGTTATGTTCGGGCAGTATCCAAGAGGTGGCGTCGTTATAAAAGCTTTCGCTTGAAATTGTTCCAACTTTTGTTCGTCTCAGAATAAATCCTACAAAATTTAAATAGCAATAATTAACTTATTTCAAATTTTATACGACTATTGTTAGTAATAATTTACATGAATAAAAAATGTATGAAAATCTGAATTTCTAATTACTATTCAATTAGAATTAAATTGTTTTTAATTTAATTTTTATTTTGAGTGACAAATTAGTATAAATATTCACCGGGAGCGAGATTAATTCGCATGACTTGCAAAAAATTAAATTAAATCTCAATAAATCTGCCATATGCCACAAGAGCACTGTAACTACAAAGCTAAATAGTTGTGTAATTTGCACATATTTACATAATTGGAAAGTGCAGGAAAATAAATTGAGGGTAAGTGCAGCACAATTAAAGGGGTCAGTTCAGTTTAAATCAAGGGAGCGAGACAACATTTTCTACAATACCCTTTCAAAAACACTGTAGTAATTATTTTTAATCATTGGTTTAAATGTAATCATTGGCACATTTTTGAGTTCTTTTCTCGGTAAATGCCAAGCTAGTCGATCGTCGAAAAATTCTTCTCTTAGGGGCAAAAATTTTTCCCATATTAAAAGAATCCCTGAGAGATATTGTCAATAAATGGTTTCTACGTCGATCACCTACCTGTTAGTAATCCGGATGTAACCGCTAAAGTAACCGTAACTACAAGAGCGAGTATTTGGTAACCGGCTTGTTCTCCCTCGTCTCGTCCGAGACCCGGTTTTAGAAAGGTATATTCGGCCGTTGCTGTCATATTCGGGCTCGCTCTCGCTGGGTATATTTCGTATAGAGTTTTACAGTAGGTGGATTCTGAAGCAATTCCGGCCATGAATGCTCCAATTAGACCCGCTAATACTCCAGGAATGCCGTGAAGGTTATGAACGCCACAAGTATCTTTAATGCCAAAGTTTGAACTCAACCAAGGCTGGAATTCATTGTTTGCCAAGTCTCTCATAATATGAGCAACTTACTGTGAGTTTGGCATAACCGGCCACCGAAATGAATCCTGCGACAGCTCCAATAACAACAGCACCGAAGGGTTGCAACATCAAGTTGGCCGTCGTGCCCACGGCCACACCACCTATAGAAAAGTTTTTACATGTTTGTATTTTGTTTGTCCCAACCTGCAAGAGTTGAATTTTGTAYGTGCACCATGTCAAACTTATGGTTCTTGCTGAAGATGAGCGAGGCGGCGAAAGTTGTAACGCAACACGAAGCCAAAGATAGATAAGTATTCATAACGGCTCTTTGCTGCCCGTCTCCTGTTAGTTCCACTGCGTTAAAACTAGGCCAATAAAGCCAAAGAAAAATTGTTCCTGGAAGAAAATAAGTCATAGATGGTTTATGTGACATTGGATTATACCTATCATTGCGAAAAGATCGGACGTGTATCGTGATTCTTCGAGGCCGTTATCTATGACTGTTTGCTCTTTTTTGAGTTCAATTACGTAACTAACGGCTAACCCGAAATAGGCACCAAATGCATGGACAAACATCGATCCTCCAGCATCCGCCACCTAGAAATAAACAAATTTAACATGCACCGCATACAGTGATGTGATTGCAGACAAGAGGATGAATAGCTGATCTGCGAATTGGAAGGGATTTATGACTTGCAATGATAACACATGGATGAATGCGGCATTATTTGCGTTATTTCAAATTGACACAGGTCTTTTGTATGGATACCTGTARTTTGACATAACACTACAATACGCCATTCGTATTTATACAGGCTGTCCCAGCGAGTTGAAAAAGTATGGACACTAATGGTAGTGACCTTTAAATGGTTATCATTTTCAACTATACAGCGTATCTCAAAAATAAGTTACAATACAAACTTGTGTTTTTTTAAATAAAACTCCATAATATGTTACCTACCGTTTTTGGATGTAGATTTTGATGACAATATTTTTAAACTAAACTTTTATTGGTCGATTTTGCTTAGTTTTAAAAATAAGACGGTTTTTTTGACGAAAACACTTTTTAAAAATTTATTCCACAAAAACTAAGACATCTCGAATATTTTTTTTACTACCGTAAAGAAGAAGGTACATACAAGCTATAAGGTTGTAACAGTTTTTTTTTAGTGTGTTGCATCTGCAAAGATAAAAAAATGAAGACGTCTGTTAAAACTTCAACAACTTAAAAAAATTTAATGGAACACCCCATTTATTGTTTTTGCAATATCACTTTTTTGCAAATATCACTTAATAATCACATTTGTGTTAAACTAAATCAATTTATTATTTTTACAACAAAATAATTTCAGTATTTATAACGACTTTTACAATCTCTGGATAAATCAACGTATAAGTGGAACTTTCTATGGTTGCCAGATAGTATCAACAAAGCTCCGATATTGRTAGGCATTGTTGCTACAATTAATAATKAATGTTAAATATATTTTCATTTATCAATTCTAGACATTAAAAGTTAATTTTTTTAGATACACAATTTATCAATCTATTATATGCAAAAATGTTCCATTTAAATTTTTTAAGTTATTTAACTTTTAACAAACTTCTTCATTTTACAAATGCACAACACTAAAAAATTGCTACAACTTTATGTTCTGTACTTTCTTTTTATGCAGAAGTAAGAAAAAATTTGTTCTAGCTGTCCTAGTTTTTGTGTAATAAATTTTTAAAAAGTGCATGTCTTCGTCAAAAAAAACGTCTTATTTCTAAAACTAAGCGAAATCGACTAATAAAAGTTTAGCGTAAAAACATTGTTTTAAAAAGCTTGGCAAAAATGCCAAGAAACATACGGTGATTTATTTAAAAAAACACAAGTTTATATCGTAACTTATTTTTGGGACATGCTGTATGGTTGAAAATAATTTTATGTGATGCACTAGATTAGTATCTGACAATGTCCTATACAATTGTTTTAAATTTTGCCATTTGAAGAGGTCAGTAATGGACTTTTTACAACTCGCTGGGATACCCTGTATATTGTTATTTAAAACTATCCGGTAAATTAACTTTTCCGGTTCCATTATGAGTTCGGAAAGTGAGTTGTTACGGTATCAATGCCGGTAAGTGATGTCACCAACAAAAACTTACCGGATTTTTGACATAATAAACATCTCATTCATACAGTAATATGTATTTGACTTACCGGACTTACACTTAACATAAATTACTGTCTTATAATGCTTAATGTGCTATATTATATTGTTTTTTCGACAATTTAAAACCCAATAATTCAATTAATACTTAATAATACAATTTTGAACAAATTATCTAGGCTTTTATCAACAGAACTAAAATGTTCCATCTTTATTTTTGCAGTATAATTATTATTGATTTTTTGAGGTAAATCGAAACTTAAAAATAAATCAGCTTAACTTTTGCTTGTTTTCAAAGTTCTTCCTTTCAATGAAAAGTAGATCTTTTTAGCTTTATGTAAAATGCTATATCAGAATATACTTTAAAAATATTAAATTAGTTATTAGATTGACGCTCCACATAAAAATAACCAAGACACATTAAAATTGTTTCTATAAAATCATGCTTTGTTTTAGATATCGTATAGGTACTGTTTCAGTTTGAAATGTCTTCTCACTGTTGGAAAAAAAATTGAAGCTCTGTTGAAGTTATGAGATATGTCTGAAAAGGGAATATCAAAAAATTTAAATTATATTATCATAATAGAATATAAAAATTCCATAGAATAGAAAATAATCGAAATTTTTGTTTAAAAAGGTTAGACAGTGTTATGCGATGAATTATAAATTTGCAGATACATTTTATACGTTTTGTTTTTGCAGAATTATTTATTTAACTAAAAGTATCTTATGTCGGTATGAATTTTAGGTTTGAGTGCAAGTTAATTGCTCTTACATTTGGAATTCATAATTTAATGTTTTGAGAGGGTTAATGTGTTGGAAGATTTTGAAAAAATATTTTCTCGTTTTTCTTATTTTGTTCAGTGTGTTTAAGAATGTACTCGTAGTTGAAAAGTGAATTAATTCAATACACTACTTGAAGTAGAATCACTATTAGTGATTCCTATGTGGTCCTCTAAATCTAACAATGACAACAGTTTCAATTCACAGCAAGAGTTCGTTTCTGTTCTGCAAAAACTATTAAACTAAAATGTATCAACGTGTAATGTCCAAAACGGATTTTTTTACGTTGTGAACTTTTTGAACTTGATTTATTTAGGCGTATGGAAGGGTCTTCTAAATTGCTGTTATTTAATTTCGCTTGGTGTATTTGGAGTTGGATATTATGAAATTAAGGTCTTTGGCGGTCACTAATTCTTCCGTTTTTGTCTTGGCTCGTTTGTGCCTTGTTGAAAGTGTCATCTGTTCTGTTGATAATTGAACACTAATAATAAGAGTCGTGTGTGAGCGAACAGAAGTGTTATTGTTGTAGTTTACATCTGACACGAAGTTTGAAAACGCTCTCTCGGGTCGAATTAGGCGAAACTTTCCGACTGGACAACCGACGTCATTTTTAACATATTGAAACAATTTTACCTGAAATATCTGTGATCCGAGAAAGGAGTTGGCCGAAAAAACAGCAATTTCGATAATCCCCATAATCAAAAGCTGCATGTATGAAGTGCGTCCCAAAACTGCCATGGAAATGAGTACAGTGGCGGCGGCGATATCTGCTTTGTATAAACTGCAATCAAAACAAACACGAATTCCGAAACGAATTATAAAAAGAGGATCAAATATACCTTCCAACTCCGAGTTTCATTTTATTATTCTCATTGAGCTGATAAAATCCCTGACAAAGCAAAGCCCATTGGATAATCAAAGCACCCAATAAAAAATTAAAACCTACTGCACTGTAACCGTATCGTCGTAAAAATGTCATAAGGAATCCAAATCCGATAAAAATCATGACGTGTATGTCCTGAAACACTAAAAAATAAATTGCGGTTTGATTTTACATTCATTTAGAGATTTCACATTTGTAATCGCCGGACAATTTCTTTTTTTTTAAACCACCGAACACAGGGCCGTAGGAATTCCGAGGATCGGAAGCATCTGCTTCTTGAGAATATTCGGTAAAATTTAAAAAAATTATGGCAATTGTAAGTTGGAAGAAGAACATAAATAGGGCTAACTTGAATCGCTGAATTTTTTCGATTGTAGGATTGTTTGATTGTGTTGACGAGCGGTTGTAAATGTAATAGTCACAAAACCGACGCATTTTGCCTTATTCTAACACAAATGATGAACTGGCATCTTTGTAAAAATATTTTGTTATTTTATTCTTTTGAAATGCAAAGTTTTTAGAATTGTTAAAAAGGTCAAACAACGAATAATGGTATTACTGTGGAGTTGTTTTTAAAACTTATGTAACATGAATGTAAAATTAAATATAAATTACCGTCAATGTTTTTTCTTTAACATTTCTTTTTTTTTTCTTTGTTTTTCTTATTTTCATCTTATTTTTTGGTGAAGTATTTTCTTAAGCATTTTACAAACAAATTACATTATTAAAAGCTGATCCAGTTCTAGGTAAGTTGTATTGTTGTAAGATTGATTTTATTGTGTACATAAAACAAACAGTTTGGTCACACTAGAAATAAATATCAGCACGGCTATTATTGTGCTGCTTAAAAATATAATAATTTATTGTATCTGTGAAAGGAAGTTTTAACACTTAAAATATTAAACCCATTATTTATTATAACATTTTAAAAAGATTTCCATTAACACTTATCCTAAATCGGTTGAAAAAAATGAAAATATGCACCATATTATAAATAAACGGTTCGAAAATTTCGAATATTGTATTGCATTATACGATTTATGTTTTTAAATAAATATTTGTAACAGAAATTAAGTATTACTTACTTGGGTAGGCATTATATTCGTATTTGTCATCATAAGTGGTAAAAATGAAGAAAAGCACAATGAAAATAATTTGAATGAAAAGAACTAGTACAACGTCCACTTTCTTCATGAGCATGACGAATGATAGACTCGAAATTGTGAAAAACAACTTTATTAGCGTGCAATGTTTGTTCCAGAACTATTTTATAATTTATAATGGGTAGTCGGTCAAAGACAAATTTCTATCCACGAAGATGTAATTATTAAATAAAATATTTGTTTATAGTAGTGTGACTGAGTTAACATCTCCCGGTTAATAAAAAAATATCTTGGCACCTTGTCGCATTATCATGTTTCCTAAAACAGATGAATCTTTGTGCCCTATTTACAGCAGTTACACAAAAAACAGAACTGTCTAAATGCGGTGTCAGTTAATGGAATTGACGTGGTTAATCGATAGCTTTTTCAGCTTGTCAGTTCTGTAAAAGCTTGTCCATACAACAAATAACAGGAGCTGAAAAAAATTGCCGCAATCGTCTGAGTTTTCAATAGCTGATATTCCGTGTATAAGCTCAACAGTTAGCTTTTTAATGAAAAGGGAATTGTACGTCATGTTACGCTGTGTTTGTTTATTTTCTAAATTATTACGTGAGAATGAATACATTATTCGCAAGGTAATTGTTTGGCTAACTATTTCTGGCTTTTTGGTATGTAAATTGAAGACAACAATTGGCTATATTTTTGAAAGGAAAGCAAACGTTTTTATATCTATTATTTTAAGAATATGGCAGCAGGAAAACAAGCCCTGCTTGTAGACTGAAACTGAGATTGTTTCGTAAACAAAGGGGTAACATAATATAGCTAGTTCAGAGGATATTGTGATGGATGGTATTCTCTTTTGACAATAATGCAGTGTCTAAAACTCTAAATTGTGTTGCTCCACCGCAGACAAGTGACCAATAAATAAAAAAAGTGACCTGAATTTTGTATTAAGTTATATGAAGACATGTGATTACACTTTTTCGTTGCTTTGTAGAAAAGAGTTTTTCATAAAAAGCTTGGGACTTGTGATGTTGATGCCTTAAGGTAGGGAAATAGATTACTTAAATTAAATTACACATTTAATTACTAAACTAAACATTCACTTTTAATTGAAAGAAAAGAATTTTTCCTGAAATCTTGAAATAGTAATTGAAAATCTATTACATTTTACCGGAAGAATTTGTCAGTTGCGCTCTTTTACCTGTCACAAAATTTGATAAGCGATAAGTAGTTTTATTTAACTTGATGCGTCAAATTAGAAGGAAGCATTAGAATATTGACTGATTTCAATATATCGTACCTACGAACACCAATAAAAAACAACTATGAAACAAATTACGACGAGCATAAAATCCGTCTGGGAGATGTTTAAACAGAATTTTAGTATTCATTTTAAGTCGAACATAATACCGCGCTCGTTGTAAAAATGTCTAGGTAAGACTGTGTGAATAAATGACTTCAGAAATTATCGCTTGGTTGAGTTTACTTAAATAAACGCGGGTTTTTGATTTTATTTCTGGTTTTATTTTGAAGCTGACAAATTATAATTATTTCACTTAATTTAACTACATAGTAACAATATTTTATTAATGTTTTTGGTGTCACTGCATTATGGATTTTTCAAAATTGAGGCCAAAGTATCACTTTACATGCAACTTATATTGTTGTAGTAATAACATTTCAAGTCAAACATAAATCATTAATTATTTTGCAAAATCGTATTTTTTGTATTCAGATTGGTCGTGCAAGGCTGCGCCACAAAACTTGTAAAATAAATCAAAATTAAGGTAATGCATTGGTGACTGGTAGGGCAGAAGGGATTAATTTAAATTAATGTTATGTAAAAAAGTTGTTCTGTGACAAAAAGTCACAATTACAGTGGGTGGAATGGCACATAATGAAGCTTTTTGACATACTAGCGTTTATTTTAGATTTATTAAATGTAACAAGATTCAAATCGAATTCATTGTGTGACATTTGTCTAGTCACATCCGGTCTATTTAAGCAATTTTTCTTCGAGTCGTAGTCATTTATAATCGGCTAGTTTAAACATGTGCGACATTAGGGTTTGTTTGTGAGGAAACTTTACGAAATGACAAATGTGCGAAACGTAATGATGGAAGGCAGGGAGAATTTACGCGAAGGGAGCAAAACACTTGAAATTGAATAAATTTTAAATAATTGTGTGTTTGTTTAACTTGTGTCAGTTTACAGAACATTTAATTGTTATCAAATTCTAATTCTAGATCATTTTGGCGTTTAGCAATGCAAAGTAAATAACAACTAAATTCGAACTATTTTCATTTCAAATTAAAATTAAATTCACTCTTTGTAAAATTGCCCTTAACCACGTGAAACGCTCTATACCATTAATCGCAATTTTTATTAAATTTGCGATTAATGGTATTTGTGAATTATTCACAAAGTCTAGTTCAAATGATTTTATGCGTCAACTTCAAAGCATACATTTGGAGGAATGCAATGAAAATCCATTTTATGTTGCAGTTTTAATTAAAAAGGAAAACTGTTTTCTGTGTTTTAGGTTGGTACAGTGAACTGATTCGGACAAATGGTTATGGTAATTTTTCTGCAATATTTATTTTACTTTTTAGATAGAATTACTTTGACTGAGTGAACGTAGAATTTGTTTTTTTTTAATCTTTTTGGGAAAAAGTCAGCAATTTTTAACTCATACTTTCATAACGAATATTAATTACCTCCACAATAATTATTTAAAATTGATAAAACACCTGTTTTTAAACCGGAACCAACCTTTATTAACACCCAAATATTATAAATTGCGAACCGAAATGCTTAGTAAGCGAGTGCTTCTGGTAGGGGTGGCTTATCTTAATGCGAAATGGAATGAAACATCATCCATTTTTCTCATCCATTAACTTTAACATTATAAAAAATTCTATGCTGTGTTATGATTATTTCCAATTTCATTATGTTCATTAGTTTAAGTGGTTATTTCATTACTTCCACGAGAGCAAATTTAAAAACACATTATAATTTCCAACGTCCAATACCTGTTTAAATATAATCACAAATCAAGATAATGGTTGTACATTGAGTTTCTGCCATTTTTGCACGCTACATAAACAAAACTAAAATTGCGCTTGAAAGTTTTAAAAGAACGATAAATTACTCCAATTAAAGTTTTTGTCGTTTAAGCAATGAAAGGCCCAGGCTTTATTGTTTATGTATCAGTTTTTAAAAGAACTGAGCGTCTGGAGGATTGAGTTGTTTCTCGACAAAGAACAAGCGCAACGTACGAAATTTGCATAATCTAGTTTAGTCAATGCAAATCTGCCGATCTATTGTCTATCTATCCTCCTAAGATCCATCAAGGAAATGGAAGTTTGTTGAAGTAATTTCGGGAAAAATATGTTTTTTGTTTACTTACCCATTAAATATTTAATTGCTATCTTAATAGTAAAACGGGTGATTTTTAGCAAAAAAGCCCATCCTGCCGGAAACTCTTTCATTTTCAACCGTTTGAAGTTAAATCAATGTTCATTCTTCTTCGCTTTACTCCTTATCCAAGAATCAAGTACGTGATAACTCGCGAAAAAGAATTCTACGTCTTTTATAAGATTTTCCAGTGAGTACACGTCCGTTTTGTTTTTAAGAGCAGCAAACATTTTTGTAGTTTTTTTAATTAATCAAAATTGTTGCCGGAAGTTTTGAGAAGTTTTTCTCGTTTGTTTTTTTTTTTTATTTCGGTCGACTAGGGATGTCCGGATTATTCGTATCAACTCGGACTGAAAAGAGATTAAGAGCAGGATTTGCAGGAAAATGAGGCATTCACTTTTAACAAGACCTGTGTGACATACACTAGAGGCCAAAAGGTTACGTTTTAATTACAACTGATAAGAGGTGAATTTCAGCGCATTTATCCTGTGATCGAATTTGTTGCAACAGAATGTCATTAACTAAACGGGCTCGTTTAAGAATTTTATTTTTAATGAAAATCACATGAAAGGTATTTACAAAAATTATAAGGGAGTAGACATCTTATGAGTACAGATTTTAGAATAAGCGAAATACACAGTTTAACACATAGGTACAAATCTCAAAATACATATTTATGTGCAGAAATAGGACGTTTTGATTCAATAAAAATCAAGCACCGATCGCCACAAAATTAAAAGGCCTTGTTGCAGACAAAATTTCTAAATATTTTGTTGACTGAAAGCCCTAGCCGATTTTTTTTCCGTCTGCTACATAAACTCACTCTGATCAGTATAAAAATCAATCGGCAAGATGTAAATTGGATTTAATTAAAATAAGTACCTAATAAATAATGACGTCATTTCTACAAAATTTTACATTTGTAAAAATAATAATATTGAAACAGAGAGTGTGAATACTTTCCGGTTACAACTTTCTAAATGAGCATTTAATTGATACATTTTTAACAGAAAAACTACATTTTAATGTTTTTTTTTTGTTTTTTTTTTCACATACAAATTTTGAAAATTGATTGTTTGAAGAAATTCGTCATTATTTATTGAATAAATATATTTTTTTAATTGCAATATTTCTCGTCCTAGTTGTGAAGTATTTTGTAATTTCATTGACTACTACATTACAAATTACAACGAATTAACATTTGCTTTTACATTATAATTACACATTTTAACTTTATTATTTCAAAATAGTTGCTTATTAATTAATGGCATTAGTTACATCAGTGCGAATCGACATATTTAAAAATACACTTAAAGACTAGGCTTTTCTCAATAATTTACAAAATATGTTTCGTTAGTCTAAACTAACTAATAAACTTCTGTGTGAATACATCCAGAAACTATTTATTTCAAAAATCGTGATATTAAACAGCCATGTTATTACATTTAATATTTACATTAATAATGGAACGTTATTGTAATTACATTCTGCAAGAAATTTCAAAAATTGGACGTTAGGTACCACATTTGAGGAACAAATGAAATAGACCAATTTTTGGGGATTGATTAAAAAAATACGTTCCATATAATATACCGGGAATTGAGCTACATTTACGATATGCGACGTGACGGTGATCGGAAGGTTTAAAAATGGTGGTGTAGAATAGGACTAACAGTCTTTAGAACAATGGGCACAATCTGACCTAAAACCGTTCCTCTGCGCGTTGTACTCGATTAGCCTCACAAACAACGCACTGCCGGAAATGATTCCTGTACACAGCCACACTTGACCTGTCCTTGCCGATTTTACGTCATGTTCAAAAACATGGCGCTTAGCACTAAGACGAGAGCCCCCAGAAGCCTCGAGGCGCCACTGGCGTTGATTCCTGCGTAGCCTGGAGTATGCAGAAGGGTCCTGGGCGCCTCGGTCGGATGCTCCTGCTGCGGGCAAGGTAATTCCTGAAGCGGAATCTCAAATAGGTGCCGCTTCCTGGGGTCCTTCGGCCCGGATGCCGTCACGTAATTCAAGGAGCTGTCCTGCTGTTGATCGTAGATGTCGTTGTCGTATTCGACGGTCTCGTAGTCGTATTTGTAGTCTTCAGCGTTTTCAGGAAATTGGTTATCGACTGCTCTGGGAGCGGTGGTCGACGAGGGCAAAGTGCCTTGGGCTAAACTTTGACCCGCTGATTCCATATAACATGTGATCTCGTCCAGGGTGTTTCGGATCGACGGATTTTTCGTTTCRTTACGTAAATTGTGCAACCAGGCCAGACGACAGTCACAGACGAATTTGTTATCTGAAATGAAATAAATGGGTGCTTAGTAATAGGGTGAAGTCGTGGAGACCTAAAGATTTCAACGAGATCGCCGATAACACCGCTATTAAAAAAGATTTACGTTAAGCTCCTACTACAAATATCCACGAATTACGACACCGACAGACTTGCCGTCGATCATACCAACGAATAATTGACACAATTTGCTTTTTTTACTAATTGATGTAAAAAATCATTCTTAGTGAAAAAGGGTTCTAGGGCTAACAAAGGATTAAATGTGATTTTTTAGGAGATGGAAATCCTTTTCCGCTCCGAATTATAATCCTACATCAGCGTTATTGGCCAGATTCTGAAACTGTACCAATTCCTTCAGTAAATTCTAGTGTGGTGTGTGAAAATCTTAATTTCTGAAACATTGCGCTAGGCTTGAGCTAATTAACACGAAGGGCGCTAATTTAGCGTCACCAAAAGGTTAGTTAATACGGATCCATTCTCTCACAGTACTTATTTGTCTTTGACTGGGTCAAAGCCGCCGTCTAGCCCACATACGGGTGTCTCTTCGACTCTCTGGTTTACCGATTATCGCAGTTGAGTAATTTCTAGTCATCGAACGGTCTATTTGATTTAAAGATGGAATTCGAAGTAATCGATTGTTTTATTCAGAAGCCAGAATTTAATAGTCCTGGACGTGTTCCGAATTAATTTCTTTAAGTAAGTATTTTACAAACGCTTTTTGACTGGTAATCCGCTCGTTTTGCGCTCATTCACTGACATGACACTTTCAGCTTATTATATGACCAAATGCTAATTTTAATTTTATTTAATGTGACGTTTAGATTGTGGCGATTATCATGGAAGTTGATTGTTTGCATAAAAGCTGGCCAACGAAATTGTGTAATGCTAATTCTTAGAATGTTAAGGGACACTTTTGTTCTCCACCATAATGGAAATTTATTCTGTTTCAAATGTAAATTGAGAATTGAGTTTCCTCGACTCATATGCGAGTGAGTTTTTGACGTTATTTAAGAACAGCTCTAAACAGGCTATTGTTTTTTGCCCTTTCTATGTATTTTGATTGTTAAAAGCAATTAAATTTTTTGAAATGTTATCTGAAATAGGACACAGATGAGCCGTAACTTTTTCAATCAGACTTTTGCGCACTTGGATTTTTATTTTGATTACTCGTGTAACTAGAGTTAGAGTCAAGTTATGAAAGCTTCTTTTTCTCTTAGTCGATTAAGTCCAAATGTCAAAGGTTTTTCTATTTCTAATGATAAAAGGACAAAACATTGTTGAACTTTGATGTAACTTTAACTGTATTATTTGAAAGAATATATTGTGTAACAAAACAAAAGCCTTTATGGGGTAAAAATCAATGAAAGGGCACAGGTTTATCGTATTGTCGATTTCCTGCTAWCGCTTGCTTTGGTCAAAAAGCTTTGYTAAAACGACGCCAGAGTTTTCGCAAACCTCGTAGTTTTTTTAGGCATCCTGTGACTAATTGTCGGTAAATGCAAATTCGGTCCTCGAGTAAAAGGCGTCCTCGCAGTTACATTTATCCTAATGTAACGCAAATTGACGCATGAAGATCAAGTGTTAACATTAAACGCGTGAAAACCCATTTACCTACAGACTCTGCACTTTGGGCCCTAATTGGCATTAGTATCAGTGTGGATTAGCACCCTTAGGGTCAGTATATATTCGAACCGGGGGCGACATTCCCACATTGATATTCCCCAATCCCAATACTGCTATTGATTTAGTGTGAGGTAATAGTGGATGTTGAGGCTCTTGTTATATACTACATGTGTGATAAATAAGCTAGCTCGCTTCCTGTTGTTGACGGTTCGCTTTAATAAGAAGTTTATTAGTGATTTGTGGTCGTCGTTTGCACATATTTCATTCAGTTCCGTCATTTTGTGTCCATATTTACTTTAGTTGGATGCATTAGCAACCACAACGACCGGAAGTGATGCAGCTATCGCATTCTGTCAAATTCCGCAAAACACTTCCGGATGTGGGTCCGGAGATAAATGTTTCGCCTTGGGTCCCGGAGGAAAAATCATTATTGCACAACTCAACGACCTATTAAAGACCTTTCAATTTCGCACTTCTAGACGAAACGAATTACGAGAAAAATAAACATTTGTTGACATTTATTATGTATTTTTAAATTGTTTTTTGTGATACTTGATTGTGATTTGATCATATCCATACTGTTTTCTTGGTTTAACAACCATAGTTTTTTTGCCATAACGGCAACTTGGCTGTTAAAGTTTAACGGACGGGTTAACGGATGTTTTTACGCATGTTGCTACACAAAATGCACACTCTAAAGATTACTTACGTGAAATTTACATTATTTGACATGATGATTTTGAATAATTTTCCCAAAATCGTTTACTTGGTATCACGAAAAGTACTGAACGACACATTACGCAAATAACAGTTGTGTTAGTTAATTGTAATTTTTTGTATACTTTTTAGGCAGTAAAATTACTGAAAATATGCGCATAAATATACAGCGTTTAAGAGAAAAATATGCAATTTTTCACTAAATATGCTTAAATATGCAGAATTTTTGGGATGTAAAAATAATGGAAAATTGCAATTAATACGAAAATTGTAATTTACATTGCAAGTTATGATATAAACTGTTTATAGATAAGTAGATAATTATCAACTACCTAGTCACAACTATTAGTTGTCATCGAATGCCACTTAATAATAGCATGCTTTTCTAAATTTTCCATTGTAAACTTTTGACGATGATCCCCTAATATCTTGCGTTTCACTTATATTCACTATATTAATAATTACCTCAGAAAGGGACATTTGGCCAGTTTCTATTAGAGTAATATGCTTAATTGGAATAATATGCTTCCTTAAAAACGTATAATTTGCCTTAATAAATGCTAATTGTTCTCTATTTTTTTTTCTTTTGTCAAATACAATTTTACATTTTATTTTTGATTCAGAAAATCTGAAGTAATATTTTTTACATTGTGGTAATGGTAGGCATAAAAAATGCTGCCTCCAACCATGTACCCCAGCGAGTGACTACAGCTACAGGTTCAGCCTATTTTCTTTAAAAAAAAATGAGTAAAGCTAAATTATTAAATGCCCGTTGCAAAAACACTTAAAATATGCAACTTATGCGCTAAATTGTGCAACAACTCCCAAAAACTTAAAATATGCAAAAATGCATTTTTTTAATTGGTCTATTCGCTTTGTTTTGATGTGTTTTGTGCACATCCTAAATTAAAAAAATTATTCCTACAAATAATAAATTTGCAATTTGCATAAAATCGGAACTTTAAATGCAACTAAATAAATACTTAGCTAATTAAATTTTCGTAGTGGTATGTATTTGTCACAAAATATCTTCGCGATTATTGCTGATACTTGGGGGTTGTTGCAGCTGTTAAGAATTTTCTAGTGCCGCCTTTATTTTATCTAAGTAGGTATTTCTCTCGTTATTTCTCATAAATGGAATGTTAATCTTGTTTTAATCAAAAATATTTATAACTCGTGAAATTCTTATTGCAACTTTAAAATGTTCTTTTAGTTTCTAAGGTTTTCGTGTCATGGATTTGAAATTTTCAATACTTTAATATACAGGGTGAATATAAAGTATGGAACCAAGCGGTTTTGCCTCCAGAAAAAAATAATTAATATAAAGTAAAGTAATATAAAACATGTGATCGTATTTTCAGAACAAAATTTTGTATTGTTTTTGAGTTATACGATTTTTTTTGTCAAAATTGCAATTTATGTAAAAAAAAATTTTTGAAAAAAATAAATATAAAGTAGCTAGTTGTAATCCTTTGAGTATAGCTTTTAGGAGAAAAATGATTTTATAGTGGGTTGCCATTTAAAAAAAATATTTTTTTTGTACAACTCAAAAACAAAAGGAAATTTCGAAAAATATTATTCTTGTTAAATCATCACATTTTTATAGTACTTTATCACTCATCAATTAGTTTTTTCAAAAAATAAATAGTTTAAGCAAAAAACGTTTGGTTCCATACTTTTTATTCACTTGGTATATAATAATCTCGTACCATTATACTCGTAATAATAAAATACCAACCAATAGATTTAATTGAAATTCTCAAAAAAATTTTCTAGTTAAAAACAATTGATAAAATAAAAATTCCTTTCTGTAGAACAAATAATAATATTTTTTTCAACTAAAATTAAAGATGGTTAAATAACAAACAAAGTTTTATTGGACAAATAAATCGATATCATTTTTGCCCCTGGTATAAATTTGGATATCAATTTATTGAAATACTTAACATGTCCTTTCCGTTTACAAATAAAAGTTTCATTTAAGTTCTAAAAGTAGGTTTTAACCTGAAATTTTAATTCGATTTGTCCTTTAGCGGGGGATTCTACGCTTATTATTTTAAAAGATCCAAAAGGAGAGTCATTCCTCAGGTGAAATTCCGCAAACAAGGGTCTCCTGATAAGTAATTGTTGAATTAACTTGATGAAGATTCCGATGGGAGCTCGACGGGTAGGTGGAAATGGTGATAAATCTTTCAGGTGCAAACGTCTATGTTAACTCACGTGGCTTCGGACCAGGAACCTTCGCATAAACGGTCCTAAGAAACATCGAGATCCTTAAACAACATTATTTGTCCCTAACCACACCTTCCACGTTCAACTTGTAAAGTATCAACTGATCCTACGAAAATGGGTGACGCGTAATAGCTTTACCAGCCATACATTGCTACTTTATTCTCAACGGATGACGTTCCATAATGGAGCCGTGATAACAGATAAATTCCAAATAATGAGTCGTATGGCCTTTATTGTCATTATACTGCTTTATACGGTACAATAAATTACACATTTTTGCTAATTGACCAACTACCAATCCGAAAGCGTTTTTACAATTTCAATATTCAACTAATCGGGTTGAGGCACGCAATTACCCTAATTGACTCTATTATTTCATTCATGTAAGCAAATACAACCGTAGATTCTGCTTATGACTGAATTCTGTGCACGAA